GTATAGTATAGTATAGTATAGTATAGTATAGTATAGTATAGTATAGTATAGTATAGTATAGTATAGTATAGTATAGTATAGTATAGTATAGTATAGTATAGTATAGTATAGTATAGTATAGTATAGTTTAGTATAGTTTAGTGTAGTATAGTATAGTTTAGTATAGTTTAGTTTAGTATAGTTTAGTATAGTTTACTATAGTATTGACATAGGAAGCTGGAACGTGAGGACAATGTGCCCGGGCATTACTGCCGACCTGCAGCTCATAAACGATGCAAGGATGACAGCTATCGTTGATAGAGAGCTTAGCAGGCTAAACATTGATATTGCCTGTCTCCAGGAAACGATGCTCCCCGAATTCGGCACCATAAGAGAACACAACCACACCACCCTCTTCTGCCAGAGTGGACAAATGGACACACCAAGACAACATGGGATTGGTTTTGTTATAAAAAATACACTCTTCTCCTCCATAGAACCACCGACACAGGGCACAAATAGAAGACTAACTATCAGACTATCAACATCTGCAGGTTTAGTCAACATCCTCAGTGCTTATGCCCCAACCCTTTCCTCCAGCTCAGAAGCCAAAGACCAGTTCTACGAAGATCTTAATCAAACAATAGCCAGCATACCCAACAACGAAGCAATTTACCTTTTGGGTGACTTCAATGGAAGAGTAGGAAGCGATCACATGGCCTGGCCAACATGCATCGGTCATTTTGGTAGGCTAAATGAAAATGGGCAGAGACTATTGGAACTGTCCTGCCTACATGGACTATGTGTAACTAACACCTAATTCAACTGTAAGGCTATCCACCAAGTGTCATGGAGGCATCCCCGCTCTAAACACTGGCACCAGTTAGATCTCATAATCACAAGACGCACACAACTGGCCAGTGTCCTCCTCACACGCAGCTACCACAGCGCAGACTGCGACACTGATCATTCCTTAGTGGCTAGCAAGATAAGGCTACAGCCAAAGAAACTGTATCACACCAAAAACAAGGGTAAACCACGTATAAACATCTGCTCCACCAAAAACCCAGAGAGAACAGAAGTATACACCCATAGTCTATAAGAAGCTCTTGTACAAACGCCACCAATGGACACTATTGAGTCCAAATGGTCTATAACTCGGCTATCGCGGCATTTGGCAAGAGAGAACGTAAAAGTGCAGATTAATTCGACGCTCATTGGCAGGAAATGAAAAATGTCACCGATGCAAAAAGAAAGGCCCTCTTAGCTTATAAAGACAGGCTTGCCCAGCAACTCTACAATCGCTTAAAAGCGCCAAGACAAATGCCCAGCAGGCAGCTCGCCACTACGCTAACACATACTGGCTCAATCGAAGCTCGAGCATACAATCAGCTGCTGATAGAGATGATGCAAAGTCAATGTACGAGAATATAAAGCAAGCAACAGGCCCTCTGATCTCCAAGACTGCACACTTAATGTCCAAATCAGGGGAAACTATTACTGATCGAGATAAACAACTTAAGCGGTGGATAGAGCACTACTTGGAAATATACGCAACGATAAACCAAGTCTCATCCACTGCCCTGGACTATATCCCAGACTTGCCGGTCATGGAGGAGCTTGATACCCTACCCACAATAGAAGAGCTACATAGAGCGATCGATTGTCTCGCCAGTGGGAAAGCCCCGGGCAATGATGGTATCCCACCAGAAGCTCTCAAATGTGGAAAAGGAGTACTATTACGGCCCTTGCACGATCTCCTTACTCTGTGCTGGCAACAGGGACAGCTACCACAAGATTTGAAAGATGCAAACATCGTTACATTGTACAAAAATAAAGGAGACAAGAGTGACTGCAACAACTATCGTGGAATCTCCCTCCTCAGCATAGTTGGAAAGGCTTTCGCCCGAGTTGCATTAACACGCCTACAGACCCTAGCATCGCGTGTACTCCCAGAATCGCAATGTGGTTTTCGCGCATGTAGGTCAACCATAGACATGATCTTCTCTCTGCGCCAGC